TTTTGTACAAACCTTCTCGAAATTACTGCTGTTTTACTAAATCCTGTATATGTTACAATTTGGAATCTACTCTATATCTGTGCCTTAAATTCTTTTTAATGGCCAGCAGGGGGCGACTCCAGTAACCAGTGTCAGATTGTATAGAAGTTAATAAGAAAATGACCCTACTCCTCAGTTAATTTATTACTTCAGTAAACAGTTTCCTTATGAGTTTATAGTCTCAATCACTAGTTTCGAGTCTTCTTTAATACAGCATGATCTTCATTTTGTAAATTATGGTCCCATTTAGAGTGAAAAGACAATAATATTCATGACACTGTGTATATTTAAAATAGCTGTGAACTTGGTATTGGGTGTTGTTTTTGAGTGTCTTTCACAGCGTGTTTTCAGTTCAGGAAAGTTTAATGTAACATTTTGTATTGTCTAAAATGTCTTGCTTAGAGTCTGGTTGCATTAAAGATTTTTTTTTCCCTGGCAAAAATTTGCATCCCAACTGATATCACAGATAACATGAATTACGAATGCACCTTGCAAACCAAGCTTGCTAGCTAGTACCAGCCATAGCTGATCATTTAGAATTTGCTTGGGTTCTCAGTCAGATCTACCGCTTTCTAGCTAGCCATAATTAGCATCCTAATTAAATAATCTCATTGTTAATATTAATTACGGATGCACCTTGTTAGTAAGCTAGTTAGTTAGTGCTAGCCTTAACTGATAACAGGTTCTCAGTCAGATCCACTAGAGGGTGCAATTTCATCCAAATATGATCAATTTATAGGTTTTTACAATCTGCTGTTGTCAGGGCTGAAATAAAACCTCTGGCAAAAGTAAGAATAGAAATACAAAACAGAAATACAAACAGAAAATAAAGTTTCCCTGTAGGGTTTCCAGAGTAACTTTCCGTTTCTGTGGTCAGAGAGGAAAGAATAATCAATATCTTTCCAAACAACCTTTCCCAGTAAAACCCTAGTCTTCTAATGGTGGCCGTATCACTCTGAGTAAACTACCCTGCCCACTGACAGTATCTTTTCAGCCTGAGGAGAGGGTTTCTTATTCACTTTTTTCCCAGCTTGGGCATTCAAACAGAGGACTAGTTCTCAACAGCAGCGGTCCAAAAGTTGGCGGCAGTGTTGTGTCTCCAGGCACAAACCTACCTTGACATTTTGGGGCTGGCATGCGCTGCGTTTTAGCATGCACGTGGTTCATCAGATATCCTGCTGACAGCACCAGGCTGCCTCCATAAGTGCAAACTCAGTGGAGAGGGTTTTGTTTAGAAAAAGAGCCTCCTTGTTATTTGAAACGGTTAAAAAAGTATTTTTCCAGTCTTTGAAAAATGAGAAAATGAAAAATTTTGTTGGCAATGAGTCCCAATGTTAAAATAAAATTATTGTCCTAGATGACTATGCTTGCTAAAAATGTTATCAAAAGAGTTTTCTGTGCACAATACCAGCCACTAACAGGGCTTTTTAGGAGGTAGAGATGTGAATATCAGAGATCAGGAATCCAATGTATGAGTGCATTGTGGATGTGGGATTGAGGCAGGCCACTTGGAGATACTCATAGTCAGAAAGCAAAAAAGCAGCACTTTCTATTGTGAGATCATCAGCATCCTTTTTTTAACTGGCAGGTTGTTTTCTGGTTGTTACATTGGAGGCGGGTGAGAGACGAGATCATCTGTAGTGTTCTCTCTGTCATGTTTTTGCTGACACCTGTTCATTGCTGTTCACCTGTTTGTAAAGCTATGTGGGTGTTAGTGTGACACCTTTTCTGTTTTCTGTTTAAGTGCCGTTTATCCTGAAGCCCACAAGTTCTACCAGAAAAAAACAATGTTAAATATCTCTTGTGTGGAGGTCAATCGCTATTGTCAAGTTTATTTGTATAGTCTACTGTCACCTAAAATGTCTAAAAAGGCTCCAGATCTCAACACAAACCAAAAGTATTTAAACTTACCTAAAAACACATAGGACAGGACAGGAACCACGACTATACAGCAAGAGTCTACAGCATGGCTGACATGTAATAGCAGGAAAAGCACAGTCATGTGTAATTAATAACATTAATGATGGCTGCATTCCTTTTAGGAGAGCTAGTTCCAGGGTGTTTGTGTCATGGAAACACCTGGAAATCGATTAAAATGACTTAATATTCTGGAACGAATCCAGGAAATGTGTGTATTTTAGCCTCTCACTCAGAGGTTGCTCTGATAAATACATGCACAGTGATGTTACCTGTATGTGTAATGACCAATTTAACTTCCTAGAAGATGTATTTTCCATAAAATTAAATCAATTCTACTTGATTTGAAATGTTACTTATGGGCTGTGGCCAAATGAACATATTAAGTTTGCATGAAACTGCAGCTTATATGATCATTTGTAAGCAAGGGCTGTCCTGGTTTGTCAAGATAAACTCATGGAAAGGCCCTGCATAGGCTCGACATAGAGCCGATTTACAACTATATATCAACCTATAGACTTTTAGTTTGGCCCAGTACACCATTATCTGTTTCTGTTCAATCAACTTAATTATTTGTAAGTAATGATTTGTATATGCACTGGGAATGGGCCAATGAAGAAGATCAGTGGGGGCTATAGTTGGGAAAATGGCAATTATAAAAAATGAACAGAAAGTTTTAAGAGTTAGTTGCAATAAAAACAAATAAAACAAAATGCCAATAACAAACTGAACAAAATGTCAGTGTCATTTTAATTTGATTGTTTCTTACAAATTCCCAAATGAACGGTTTAAATCAGTGTGGTGTTGTTAGTGTTTAGTAAGAGCCACTGTCAACACCCACTGAATTTTATTATACAAAAGTTATTTCATTGATATAGACTGAGACTTTACTTGTTTTAATTAGGGATTTCTGTAAAGGGTGTATGTCTTTTCAAAAGGGGAAAGTTAAATTAAAATGCAAGTTTCCGTAAACAAACTTTAAAAATTGCTTATTTCCATGTTCTCCAGCCAGTCAACCTCCCAGCGGGCCCAGTGAAGCCACACACCAACCACCAGTATCACACTGTGCTTATACCTGCAGCTCTCAGGTGAAACTGTACATGTGGCTAGAAAATCATCCCTGAACACCTCCGGTTATCTGCTCCACAGTCTATTCCTGTGCTTCTGGCTGGCATGACTCAGGGAAATATTCACTTATGAGTTTCTGACATGGAAGGTGCACGTGGGAAGGCTTCCTCTTGTGGGAAAGCGTTGGATGACAGAACTGACCTTTGGGCTTGTGCCAGATCTTGCTCAGGGAGATTTGACGCTGAGCAGTGCGCCTGCCTGGTGTTAGTAACACTCAGGCTGGTGCTGCCTGATGGATGAATCACACTGAAATCCTCACAGTCTTTGCCTCTGGCTTTGTTTAGGGTCAAGAGCAAAAGATTTTGTCCATCTGTCTTTTCGAGATGCGTCATCACTGAGAAGTCTGTAATGTAGGTTAGGAGTTTTCTATTTATTAACAGATCAGCATACATTCTCCTACTTGATCAGTAGGACCCCCATTAATGGGCACTCGTGTCCAGAGCAGTTTATTCGCAGACTGGAACATTTACTCCTTTAGTTTTGTTAGTTTTGACAGGTGAGAAAAATAGCAATTTGGACTCAGGTGGCACCAAATGACGGCTGTGACATTGCTGAAAATATGAACCATTTTCATAGAGAATTTAATCTTCCACCGCTACATGAAATTACTCCAAAATAGAGAGGTGTATGGGTGTGGGGGGAAGGATGTTGACAGCCTGTAGCTAGCAGGTGCATGTTTAACAAAATGAGGTGAGTCTGGATCGATGCTCTTATTTAACAGTTTGTTATGTTTTCTAACTGACATTACCATGAAAGGAGGTATTATAATAAAAAATGCAGACATGTCAACCATGCTTGGATCAATATATCCCTCTGCCATTCATTCACCAAAAATCAGTCCAATTGTCAGACCGCTTGTGAGCCTTGAGTCTTAGCTCTGATGTAATTTTGCTAACGAACAAAATAAAGTACAAGAAATTCAAGAAGAGTCAGCTGTAAGTGAGGGTATAGGGTGTCAACAGGTGATACAGCAGAGTGCAAAAATCAACTTTGGATGACCATTTACATCTTCAATCCCATAGACCCTTTATCATAAATATCTGGGAAATTAAATAAACTGATTCACAGGGGATGATGATGATGATGATGATGAAGTCTAGAATTTATCTTCAAATTGATGCAGATGTGCAGCTACAAATTGAATATTTAACTGTGATGTCCACATGCTGATGGATGAGATGTGGCCGAAAGCAGTGAAAGCAGACGTCTTCCAGTAAGTAGATCTTGCGCTTCAATTTTTTTTTGTCAAATTCGTATTTCCTAGGCCATTATTGTGATATAGTTTTAGTGAAGCTCTATAGGTGTGTTGTGAAAAAACACTGTGAAATTGTGAAAAAACAGATTTTAAAGTTATTCAAGGGGAAATTTAGGAGGGACATGAGGGTTCAAATAGTTAAAGGAAAGAGATAGTTCATTGCACAAATCAATACACTTTCACATGATGATGATGATGATGATGATGATGATAATGATTAAAGTGATCTCAATGCAAATTATGCTGCTTTTGATGGTGAAACTGAGGACGGGGATCATGGCTATAACAATGAGGGTCACAGTGATGATGATGAGGGTGAGCTCTTGTACCAGCGATGATGAAGAAGATGAAGATGCTACTGCTTGTGGAGCAGATGTATGATAAGGATGGCGGAGCTGCTGTCGCTGATGAGACTGCTGAATGATGGGGAGATGAACATGACGATGATGATTATGGATGAAACTGATGAAGAAGGAAGATAATAATGAGGAAGATGATTAAAATGATAAGTGATGAAGAGAAGTATAAAAAATGATGAGGAGATGAAGATGATGGTGGTGGGGATGATTAGATGATCACTCATCCACCGCTCCCCCCCTATAGGGGGACCCTCGCCGCTGCCCCTCCCATGAACAGCGTTGCCTCGGTGACTGCCGGTTTACGTGATGACGTCGGATGTATATGAGCGCGAGCGGCGGGATCTCTCTCCCCTTTTACCGCCATCGGAGCGGAATCTCTTTCTTCCCCGGGACCTCTTCACTGCGCAGAGCCGCCTCACCAGCCCAGCCTCCGGCCAGAGAGCGAAGGTAAGGGACAGGACTTGGAAATGGCTTCTGCGCCAACGCCCCAAACTTGTGCGTCGTTTCAGAAGTTAAATGTTAATTCCGCTGTATCTAATGAATAGCGGCAGAGGAAGACGGCGTTTCTCTGCTAATGCTAGGCAAGTCAGACAGCGGCAGCAGCCATTGAGACAGCCTCCACCATGATGTGTGTTAACGTTACACGCGATTAAAAAAAATAATAAAACAACGATTATTCCGTATGCCCGTTTCCCCTGGATGCTTTTGACACTCGTTGCATTGATAGAAATGACAAAACGTCGGGTTATTCCCGTAATTGTCGGCGTTTTCCGACATTTGTTTACACGTGTCTTGTAACGTTATCTTGTATTTTTGGACTTGACCTTATTTTTTGGAGGATGATAGTCAGGGTGTGGAGCTGTGGACGGCAGTCTGGACTTCAGGGATACAGGACACCGCGGTGGGTTGACCGTCAACCCCTCATATTACACAGCGAAAGCGGATAAAAACATGGTACCGGAGCGTTGGCACCACTTCCTAACTGGCCCGTATTTTCTAGCTACAGCACCGTGTCTGACGAAGCTGTTCCTCCCACTTGCTCAGCCCAAGTAGTGCGCATCAAGCTAGCAGCACATAAGCTAGCTCAACTAGCCAGACACAGCGAGGCAGTGCAGTGACAAGACCGGGCAGGCCGGCTAAAGTTAGCCTGGTTACTAGCCATGGGCTAGGGGTTGTGGAGGCAGCGATCGGACATTTGTTGTTTGACGTCGGACGGTAAACGGTTCAACAGGTTGCCTGGTTCGCTTGGTTCAAAATGAAGTTGAAAAGGTGGCTTCAGAGTTAGCAGGCAGGCAGCCACCCTGGGCTTTTTGTCAGTCATTGATGGTAGACCTGAGCGTGCAACACGTGGTCACCGGGCAGGATTAGGAGAAAAAGCCTGTCCCAGAAAGGAAAGGGTCTGTGTTGGTCAGTTTGCTCAACCAATGTTACATTTGTAGTTGAGACCCAGATCTGATCTGAGAACGGGAATTGTCAACTGGCTATTCAGTATTTGTAGCCTTTTGGTGTTCAGGCCGAGATGATTTAATGGTCTAGTTGTACATGCTGGATAGTTTCATTCCAAACTCACATGGCCCACTAAAGCTGTGGTACTTGCCAACTATATCAGTTATGTCTCATATCAGAGTCATCACTTGGTTAAGTCAGATGATGATGATGGATATGCAAGCATGTATAGGTATTCCAGGAATTTATACAGTGACACATGACATCAGTGTTACCTTAGAGGCATAATCTGCATTGATTTTAAAATGCTGGATCCTCCTAGTAGAGCAGCTTGTCCACATTACTTTGTCTACCTGCAGCTATTTTTGTCCATTAAAAAGCAAGTATTGACCCCAACCTGAAACACCCTGTCATCGCATTTTGTATAGCAGTATATTTGAAAAATGTCTGCTGCTGCTGCTAAGAGCTTTTTACAGTACTTTCCCATCAATAATTTGGCATAATAGAGAATACAAGATGGCATGGGGTGGCGGGTGTCATCTTACCTTAGATATAGCACTATGATATGGGGCACATGTTCTTCCATGCTTGTGCGTTTTTAGACCATTGTTGAGTAAAAAGTGATAACTCTTTTTAAACATTAGAAGATGACAGAATGCAGCTCTCAGTTGAGAAATGGGACATGATTAAAGCCACAAATCAGACAACACACACAGACTGCTCTTCATCAGTTATCCCCTTATGGAGGAAGAAACAATTTGATCTGCCACGTGACTTTGTTCTGAGCTCAGTGAACTGTCACATCAGCTCTGTAGTTGAATAATCTTGCTGTATTAGCTGAATGTAGGCCAGCTAATATATATATATATATA